GGGCCCTGCTGCTCAGAGCTGGCGTCCCAAGCCAACTCCTAACCAACGCGCCACTCGGCCGTCTCAGGATTTTCTATTTCTTGATGAGTTACTTTTGATAGATTGTTTATATCTAACCATGGATTAAATTTTTATGCTAAAGGCCAAATGCAGTCTGCCCCTTGCCAGTGTTAGAAGCTTAGTTGTATGGCTCCTCGGCTTTCGTTTGTTGCTTTACGACACTGTCCACTTTGCGCCGTCTAGTGTCTCCAGTGCCACGATGGAGGAGCTGCTGACAGCTGCAACCTCGGGCATCCTGAGGCACATTGCTGCTGAAGAAGTGACTAAGGAGAGGGAGCGGAAGGAGGAGGAGAGACGTCGGGTGGAAGAGGAGAGGTGAGTGTGCCTCGTCCTCACGTGTGTGGGCTCAGGAGGGACCCAGCCGGGCCTGTGACACCCTTGCTGCTGTTGCCCATGATGCCTGCATCAGACCCGCAGCCCAGGGAGTGGCGGGCGGGCCGAGGCCACACCCGCCTGTGAGCAGCAGCGCGGCCCCAGCTAGGCCCGGGGTGGGGGCAGCTGTGTGGCCTGTCGGTGGGATCAGGGTCAGGCCTGCCCGTTCAGATCCCCACTCGTGAGGTCACAGAGTATGGTGCCGTTTATCTTTATTCTCAAACGTTACCCTTGTGCTGTTTTTTTTTAACCCTTAGGTTGAAACAAGAAAGAGAACTGCTGTTAACTCAGCTGAGCCAGGGCCTGGCTGTAGAGCTGACAGAACTGGTGGTGGCGGAAGGTGTGAGGGAAACCTGCTGCCAGGAGTTCAAGTGAGTGAAGTGTGGGGTCCTGTGGTGTGAGGGGTGGGCTGGTGGGAGGGCGCAGGGACCTGTGTCAGGCCCTGCTGCTCGGGCTAGCTGGGTTTCACGCTGATGAGGGGCGCGTCTTTTCGAGAGCCAAGCATTAGAGCACAGTCCCGGAAGGAGTTTCCTCCAGAGAGGTCCTCACTTTCTCTCCCACCCTCCCTGTGGAGCCCGCCTTGGGTGTGGGGCTGTGTCCACAGAGGAATTTCCTGGTAGTGTCCACACCAGGTTACCCTCCTTAGCTTTTCCAAACATAAGGCCTTTCCTCTCGTTTCATGTTAGAGATTTCTTGGAGCTGGCTCACTTAAGAACTTAACTGATTTCAGTGCCTGGCTTCAGGAATTGAGGTTCAGTTGTGCAGGGAGACCCAGCATCCTGCTTGCACTCTTCGAGACAGCCCAGAGGTTCCGGCTGCTCCGGACCGAGCACAGTCCTCAGTGTAGAAGTCTGTTGTGTAATTAATGTTTCTTTCACCTCCATTCATTGGAAATCCATTTCCCTGTTTACTGTAAGTAAGAGACCTGACAAATGATGGCCGCGTGTCTTTCCTCAACCCCAGGAGGGGCTTAGGAGGCATGCAAAGCCAGACACCCTGAGCCGCGGATCGTGTGGCACCCCCCACCCCCCACCCCTGGTCCCAGGAGACTCGACTCCGCCCCAAGGCGGTGGCTTTTGGAACTGAGTTCTGCCCGTTTCAGCTCCTTTGATTTTGTGACTCCGTGTATTTGATAAAGTCCTCTTTGCTCCCTTGGTGGATAGAGTTTTGTTGTAAAATCTTCCTTTTAGATGCTGGTTGATGTGAAGGCAGCTCTGTAGATCATGGGCTGCCCGCTTTCCTGTACTTGAGACACTTCCATGCAGACATCAGAAATTGCTCATGAGAAGCTGTTGCAGTTGTCTTAATGGTCACTTAAAAACTAAGAGCTCTAACCATTTTATTAAGGTCAAGATTTACCCCTGGACTCTTTATGAGGGCCTTGTTGGGTCTGTAACTTGGTAGCGGGGACCCTCTTGTTCTTCTGTGTGTTGTTTGGGGACCCTTTCCAGGTGTCTTAACACGTGAAGCAAAATGAACACCTTAAAGCTTGTCTTGCAGCAAAGGTGTAACTACATATCAACCCAGCGGACTCCTGTCCTTGAAGGCAGGCTCTGAGTGTGGCCCTGGGCGCCGCGTCCCCACCCTGATAGCCCTGTCCCCCAGGAGTGCCGTGGAGACAGACCAGAGGGTCCGCATGGCCCGTTGCTGTGAGGACGTCTGTGCCCAGCTGGTGGACTTGTTTCTCGGGGAGGAGATTTTCCAGACGGCCAGGGAGACCCTCCAGGAGCTGCAGTGCTATTGCAGCTACCTCCAGCGGTGAGTCCTGTGTTCTGGACACAAAGCCCACGCATACTGCCATCGGTCGGCAGAGATGGTGCTTCCAGGAGTGGTCAGTTACACATGCGCACGTGCACGTGTACACATGCAACACCTTCCTTCCTGAGGGGGTAAATTCAGGGGTAAGGATCTAGACTGGGGGATGGTTCGTGTTCAACAGATAACTACAGGATGCTTGCTGTCGCTCATCCACTGCGCTAGGCACAGGGACGTGGCCGTGAGCAGGCCAAACACCGACAGCTATACGCATCGCCTGGGTCAGTTTCCAGAACATAATTGATGATGCCAAAAAGCAGTCCTCGGAATGCGTACACGCGAGGGTACATTCACACTAATAGATGGCTTTGGATTAACACATTGTGGTATCACCCTAAAGAAAAGAAGGACCCTAATGGGCACACAGCATAGCACAGTGGTCGCCTGTGGGCATGAGAGGGCCCACGGGCGTCCCAGCACTGGTCACGTCTGCTTCTCCACTGTACAGAAGGACATGAGACTCAACATTGGTCTTAACTGGGCGTGTATGTGTCACATATGTTGTGTTGTGATTCAGTTCCTGTAAAACTGAAGTCAGGGTTCTTGGCATTTGCCATCGTCTGAAAGGGATTCCATGAGAGCCTGTCCACCCACTCAGAAGCTGCAGTTGCCCATGTGCCAGCCAGACCCCTGGCCTTCTGGGGCGCTCCACACAGCTGGGAGCACACGCCCTGCTCTGCGCTCAGCCTTTCCGTCCTGCATGTGGGGGTGCAGGCCTGGGCACAGCAGCACGCCGGCTGTGCCACTGTTGGCAGTACGTGACCCAGCTGCCCCCTGGCGGTGGACTCTCTCATGGCTCTCTCTCTAGCTGTGACAGAAGGCTGCAGGGACTGTCCTTGTCACACAGCGCACATGTGCCTGGAGATAGGCTCCCACAGTGGCGTTTGCTGGGACAGAAGCTGTGTGTCCTTGAGTGTCCGCCGCGCCAAATGAGCCTTGGAGATGGGTCAGCAGTGTGGGCGCTTGTCACCAGGCGTTTGCCGTCAGGCCTTCCCCATCCTGAACTTCTGTTTTTAAGCTTTTTTTTGTTGAGTTTTAATTCTAACTGATTTCTCAGTCTGAGGACTGTTGCTGAAAAAGACTAAATGTATTGTCAGAAAACGTGTCCCGTGTTAATGGTGCTGGAGCAAGCGTTTGTCCCTGTGGTACCTTTTAACACCTCCAGTGGTGACCTGCTGGTGTGTCCCCAGGTGGAAGGAGGCTGTCACCGCCCGGAAGAAGCTGAGGCGGCAGATGCGGGCCTTCCCAGCTGCGCCCTGCAGTGTGGACACAAAGGATCAGCTGAGGGCACTGGCCCCCAGCGCGGAGTGTCCCATTGCCAAGGAGAACCTGGCCAGAGGCCTCCTGCACCTGGGCCACGCGGGGAAAGTGGGCATCTCCTGTACCAGGTTAGTGCTCTGCTTTCTGCGTGTGTGGAGGGACCTGAGTAGGGTCAGCGCGAAGATGGCCTTGGGCTAGGCCTTTGCAGGTCGCCTGCCTGCCGCCCCGCCTGCGTCCTGCTCTGCCTGCTGTTACGCCTGCGTCTGCCCTGAAACACTCAGGTCCTGCTCAGTGGATTTGGTTAGAATCCCCCGTTTCTCCCCTGGTCTTCCTGGCTTAAGGACACACCATATCCACTCATCAGTGGGGCCAGAGGTCCCCTTGGCCTCGCCCCCACTCCGCGCCCTCTGCTTCTGAGTCCTTCCACGTCCTTGTCGTTCCTGCTGCCTCCTCATTCACACCGGCCCCTCTGTATTCCACAGCAGCGTGTCAGTGACTGCCACCCGCCCTCCACTGTCCCCTCTCACGGCCCCCATCCTTGTGCCCTTTGGCCTGGCCCTCCCTGCCTCTCCTCCCGTCACCTCGAGCATGTCTGGCTCCTCGGGGCCCTGCCTAGGTTTTTGCTTGAGCTCTCCAATGCTGCCCTTCAGGGCTCAGCCTCCTTCTGAATTTCAGGCCATGCCAGTGTCACCTCTTGAGAGGGGCCTTCCAGTGGGTGACCGGCAGAAGGCAGCGGAGGGGCCGCAGCAGTGGCTGTCTGGGTCTCGTGGTGTGCCTCGTCCTCCCGAGCTGTCACGGGATGTTCTCTCTGAAATGCATCTCTGACACACTGTGGCTGGCTGGGTCCCTGAGGGCCGGCTCTGCATTTGGAGGCGGAGTGGGTGGCGGTGTGCACCGCTCTCGACATGCTCTGTGGTCAGGGCGTGCAGGCTTCTCCGGCCGGCAGCATTGGCACTGGCCTGGCCTCCTGCAGTCATGGCTGCTTCAGCTCTGTCCCCCAGTCCCCCAGCACTGCCCCACTGTCCGTCCCTCTGCCCTATCCCTCC